TGCTGTATGTAGTTTCTATATGTAAGTTCCACACATATTGGTAAAAATATGAAAATAAATTGTGTGCATACATATATATATTTATACACAAACATATATCTAATCCTACTTCCCACCTAATGTCAAAACCATCAGTAAATCTTGTTGGCCCTATGTTTAAATTTATAAACTATATACAGAATCTGACCACTTTTTCTACTGCTACCCTCTTGGTCTGTGCCACCATTATCTCTTACCCAGATTATTGCAATAACTTCCTAACAGGTCTCCTTTCCCTCTCATAATTTATTGTCAATATAAGAGTGATCCTTTAAAAATATGCATCATTTCTGAGCTTAAAATCCTGAAAGTCAAAGTCCTTATAAATGTCCACCTTCTGCTACTCTCCTCTCCTGCATTTGACTGCATCTCCATTGGCTTCCTGGCTGTCTCAGTCTTCGGGTCCAGTTCCTCTGCTAGGAACACTGTTTCCCAGAGAACTCATGGGAAATTCTTCCCTCTCATAAATCTTTGTTCAGATGTCACCTTCTCAGTGAAGAGTTCTCTGACCACCTCTTTTTTAAAATTGGTCTCTATCTCCTCCAGCTGCCTTGAATCTCCCTGTACTCTGTTCTTTACTTTCATAGCACTTACCACCTTTTACCATACTGTACACCAAAAAAAACAAACAAACTCACTGCCGTCAAATTGGATCCGACTCATAGTGATGCCTCCTTGGGTTTCCAAGGTAGTATCACTATGGAAGTAGATTGCCCAACCTTCTTTTCGAGGAGTGGCTGGTGGGTTTGAACCGCCAGCCTTCTGGTTCGCATATATATAGTGCACTTTATTATGTTTCTTACTTTCCTGTCTCCCCCTGCCAGGTTATAAAATCTAAAAGGGCAGGAAGCTTTGTTTTCTTGTTCATTGACATTTCCCAAGAACAACATCTGGCACACAGAAATTGCTCAATACATTTTGGAAGATATGGATAGACCATTCCTCCAAAATTTATGTGGTCAAAGAGGTTGAAGCTACAGTGGAATCGCATAACTTACATTTTCTATTTAAGATTATTGCTTACATTTTCTAATATAATTCCTACTAAGGTTTTTCTGCAGATCAGTGAGGACAGATATCAGGAAGAAGTCAGAGAGAGGTAGATGTTGTGTGTTTGTCTAGTCAAATATACTAGCAATGTGATTATTTGAATATAAAGTTATCCCTCAGACCTAGAGTAAGGCTCAGAAATGAATTGGAGTGTGCATGGGTGTTTAATTGTTGGAAACTCTACAAAATACAGGAAGGAAACCTATCTAAAATTCAGGACTCCGGAAGGTCACCACCCATTCTCCTTACTAAACAGAACAGAATTGTATTTCCTCAGACAAGTCCCTCAGCACACATTTGTCTTTGTAGCTTAGTTGTAAACATGTCCATAAACTGATGTCTTTTTAATGTAAAATCTGCTTTTTTAGGCATCCTTGAAAAAAACTTTTTGTTCTTTATTCCCTTGCTTTTCTTTTCTCTCTTCTATTTTACAGTAATTTTTATTCTATCTATATTTCTATCAATTCATGTGGAACTTAAAAAAAACTGTATATAAAAAAAGTTCATAATTCTATCACACAAAAATCACCACTGGCTTACTATTTTCATATATATTCTTCCATGCTTTTTGTCTAAGCCTCTGGTGTGTGTGTGTGAAAACCTTGGGTAATATTATAAATATTGCTCTCATTTTATGAATCACGTAATAACCCTGCATTCTTTTTAGAAATGACATTAAAGTAAGTCAATCACAAAAGGACAAATACTTTATGAGTCTACTATTATTAAAAGTCAAGGAAAGGTTTATACATGGAAAGAAACATTCTTTGATGGTTACCAGGGATAGGAGGGAGGTGAGGGAAAATTGCTAGTTAGGTAAGAGACAAATTGATTTGGGTGGAAGGAGAGGTAATATACAAAAATAGGTGACCAGCACAATATAACTAAGGAAAAGGAAGACATGAAAAGGTGCACAAGAGTTACAGACAACAAAGGTAAATTATCACCTACACAATACTGCACTATCAGTAATAACAAACATTAATCTACAGGTGGATATGTAGGTAGACAGGCAAGATAATCAGGTATGGGTAGGCAAAAGGAAATACACCCATGACCATATATAGGTTTGGCAGATGATATCTCTACATACATATTTGTATGTCCTATAAAAATGTCAAGATACATTCTGGAGCTAATAGGGAGCAAAGTTATGATAACTTTTTAGCCACAACCAAGCCCCTTGAGGGGGTGAATTACTGGACTTGTGGGCTTGAGACCACAGATGTGGGGAACATCAAGGTCAATTGGCATAACATGTTGCATTGTTGTTGTTGTTATGTGCCGTTGAGTCGGACCCGACTCATAGCGACCCCTTCTTGGGTTTCCAAGGCAGTATCACTACAGAAGTAGATTGCCCTATCTTCCTTCTGGGGAGTGGCTGGTGGGTTTGAACCGCCAACCTTCTGGTTAGCAGTCAAGTGCCTTAGCCACTATGCTACCAGAGCTCCCTGGCATAACATAGTATACAAAAACATTGTTCTGCATCCTACTTTGGTGAGTAGGGACTGAAGTCTTAAAAGCTTATGAGTGACCCTCTAAGATGCCATTGGTCTCTCCTTGCCTGGAGCAGAGAAGATCAAAGAAAATCAAAGATGCATGGGAACAGTCCAGTGGACTGGTGGACCATGGGAACTTCAGTCTCCACAGCTCTGAGTCTAGAAGAACTAGATGGTGCCTGGCTACCACTGCCAGTCATTCTGAAAGGGCTCAAAATTCTAGATCCTGGATAGACTGGGAGAAAAGTGTGGAACAGGACACAAAGTCATAAAAAAGATCAGTCTTACCAGTCTGATAGAGACTGGTAGGACCCTCAGTACTATGGGCCTTAGTCCACCCTCTGGTCTGGAACTGAACTAACCCTCACAGCACAACTTTCAGCCAAACAATAGACAGACCTGTGAGATGAAGAGTAACACCAGAGAGGTAAGCACACCTTAGAACAATCAAACAAAAGAAATCAAAAGGGTAGCATTTGCCCAGGGATAAATAAAGCTCAGAAGGCAGGAATGGATAGGAAAGAAGGACAAAGAGAAATGGCAACCTCAGGGAGAAGGGAGGAGGAATGCTGTTACATAGTGGGAATTGCAGTCAATGTCACGAAACAAAATGTGCATGAACTGTTGAACAGAAAACCAATTTGCTCTGTAAAGTTTCAACCAAAACAAAATAAAAAGTTAAAAAAAAAATGTAGTGGGAGTTCCTTTGAAGTTTACAGGAATTCTTTAATGACGCAAGTACAGTAAATTTCCTGTAGTAAAGTGACCTTAGTGAACCAGCTACATTGATTCAATTAAGCTTGATGCCAAGATTCAATCTTTTAATAATTTATCTGGATTGAAGTAAGGTTTCTGGGCAGTTGTTTTGGTTACCTAGTACCACTCTAACAGAAGATACCACAAATGGGACGCTTGAACAAACCGGAGTTTATTCTCTTACAGTTTGTAGGCTTTAAGTTCAAGTTCAAAGTGCCAGGCTCTAGGGGCTGGGTGAAAGCCCCTCACTCTTGGGCTTCAGCTCTGCCTCCTGATCCTGGCCCACTGGAGCTGGAGGCTTTTCTTCACTTAGACAGCTGCTGGCTGCTGAGACTGACAAGCCCAAAGTTGACAAGTAAAAAGGCACAGTCCCAATGTTACCAAACCACACAGCAGGCCATTAATTCCAGTCCATTGAAAGTCCCAAAGTTGGCAGAGCATGGCAGGCTGCTGAACAATGACATGGTTACATGCAGGGTTCAAGCATGCCATAAGCTAGAGACCATTCCCCAAGCCTTCTCCTTACATACAGGAAGCAGACCACATCCCTAAGGCAGCTACTCAGCTGCTCCCAGTAGATTACACCATGGAGCTGATTACCAGTCTCATCATGGGGAATACTACATCCAGCTGCCCAGCCACTCAACCAGGCCCAGCCAAGTTGACATACAACCTTACCTATCACAGCAGTCATTTTTGTAGGTACCAACAGTTTATTAGAAGACTTTACTAGGATTGTATTAATGTATCTATAAAGAGGGTTGTTGGGGGCATTGTGGCTCAGTGGTAGAATTCTTGATTCCATGAAGAAGACCTAGATTTGGTTCCTGACCAATGAATTTCATATGCCACCACTACCTGTTTGACAGAGTGGTTTGCATATTGCTATAATGCAGCAGAGCTTCCAGACTAAGACTAGGAAGAAAGGACTGGTAATCTACTTCCAAAAATCAGCCAATAAAAATCCTATGGGTTGCAATGGTCTGATCTACAATTAATCGCTATAGTGGGCAGCATTTCATTCTGTTGTGCATGGGGTCACCGTGAGTTGGGGCTGACTCTATGGCAGCTAAAAACAACAGGGAGGGTTGACAAAGAGATCTGAGGGAAAATGTAGCATGTAAGGAAGTTTCTCTGGGTTTCACAATGTGGCCCTGGGGCACTAAATGTGAAGCACCCTCTACTTAGCTCCATCTTGACACTCATCACATTGGAATGAAATCACAGGATTTTATCTGCCTCATCTGCAAACTATGAGCTCCTTGAAGACTGAGACTGGAATTAATAAGATACATAATTAATCATAGCTGCCATTTGTTAAGGACTAACTATGCCTGGACATGTGTACTTTTCATATATTATTACTGTATTTTCAGACTCACAGCAACTCTGTGAGGTATTATCCCATTTTATAGATGGAAAGTGAGACTCAGAGAACTAGGGAAAGTAGCATGCTGTCACATGATTGTTTTGTGGAAGAGCTGTAATGTTCCCAATGTTTCATCTTTGGGTTCAGTGAACATGGTACCTATAGGGGTGACCTATTAATGAATAAATGAATGAATGAATAAAAATATGAAGGAATAAATGTAGATGTTTAAACAACTTGTTACCTACTTAGATAAAATGTAAAAGTATTTTTGTTATTGTTTCTAGAGGTTATTTTAGCCTGCAAATACCCAAAGAAGACACTCTCATCCCGATTAGAGTGGAAGAAAGTTGGACAGAGTGTTTCCTTTGTCTACTATCAACAGGCTCTTCAAGGTAAAAAGTTACAGATTTGATGAGGAGAGAACAAGAGATCACTGAGCACAGCCAATCCTTTAATGTACAAAAGTGAACAGAACATGGCTGATTAATAAAAATGTGTTTTTGTTAAGTGTGAGAGGAAACTAACAGTGACTAAGACCTAAAATACAACAGCCACAGAAACAGAGGACAAAGGTCAGAAATAGGTGAACCCTTTTGAGTTTTTGGGCCCTTCGTTTCTAGCTCAGTCCTACAGTGCAAAATATAATTGTTCTTTCTGGCCCATTAGATTAAATTATTGAGAGCAAGAAAGAAAAGATGGTGTGGGGAGGAGGTGAAGGAGTGCTGCTTCGTAGTGATAATTTAGCCTACTTCCACACTTGCATCTAGAAAGCTAGGCTGTCTCTGAGAAGCTTAGAGAGTTGAGACTTAAGGGAAAGTAATGGTAATAAAATTTTAAAAAAGCACTTGATAACAGTAGTTCTAGTTACTATTGTTATCAAGTGCTTTTTTCTTTTTATTGTTATACATTTTTCCATTCCTAATGTTCCTGTTGAATTTGTCATGAACTTTTAATTTAAAATGTTGATAACAATGGGTGAAATACTATAATATCTTAGATTGGCTTCCAAATCATTCATTGATTAGAATTGGAGGCAAAATAAGATAATCAATTGGTTGATTATTTTTACAGCTGGGTAATTGGTATTATTATAACTAGGTAATGTTGGGGTTTATTTTAGTATATTTTCTTATTTTGTGTATGCTTGAAATCATCCACATAAAAAAGTTCTTAAGTTGAAAATGAATTTCAAAATTAAATAATAATTATTATTTTAAAATACTATGTTTAGTTGTTCAATTAAACAAGTGAAAACATTAAAGAATCGTAGAAAATTTAAAGTATCCCCCTGGGTTTTATCTGTAAAGACATGACTACAGGTTGCCAGATGCTAAAAATACAGCCATCCCACTTAAATTTTCTAGTTGCCAATTCTGGCAGCTGTGCTTTATGAAACACTATTTTAGTTCATCATACATTATATATATATATATATGGGACCTAGGACCTCTGGTGGTATAATGCCTAAGGCATTTAACTGCTAACTAGAAGGCTGGAGGTTCAAACCCACTAGCAACTCCTTGGAGGGAAGATTGGGCAGTCTACTTCCATAGTGATACTCCCTCGGAAACCCAAGGAGGGGTCGCTATGAGTTGGGATTGACTCGACAGCAGTGAGTTTGGTTTGGTTTTTGGTTTATATATATACACACACACACATATATAATATGTATTATATATGTGTGTATATATATATATACACACACACACATATATATGTAAATAACCAAAGAATGTTTTTAAGATCCCTCACCTTTTCTTTTGTAGCAGTATTATGTGGGCCACCACACATAAAGTTACTGTTCCAGCTGATTAAACTAGTCTCTCCCATGTCTTTTGAAGGTGAGAATATTTTTACAAGGGTATTAGATAGGGAAGGAGCTCTGGTAGCTTAGTGCCTAAGGCACTTGACTGCTAACCAGAAGGCTGGCGGTTCAAACCCACCAGCCACTCCTCAGAAGGAAGATGGGGCAATCTACTTCCATAGTGATACTGCTTTGGAAGCCCAAGGAAGAGTCGCTATGAGTCGAGTCCGACTCAACGGCACATAACAACAACAACATTAGATAGGAAGTGAGGCAGGAATGAAGGCCAAATTCTTTGAAATAAAATATGAGAATATGGAACTAAATTATTTTTTAAACATAATGCCATTCAAAAGAAAGTTAAAATAGAAGCATCCGTGTAGAATATTTTTTATTTTTAAAATTAAGTTTATTAATAGGAAAATAAATCCTTTAGTTCATGGAATGAAGTGACTTGAGAATGATACTGCATAGAATATTACTCACATTATTAATAACATTGTTTTCTTCTTCTGAAAGGTGATTTTAAAGATCGAGCTGAGATGATAGATTTCAGTATACGGATCAAAAATGTTACAAGAAATGATGCTGGGCAATATCGTTGTGAAGTTAGTGCCCCATCTGAGCAAGGCCAGAACCTGGAAGAGGATACAGTCACTCTAGAAGTATTAGGTGAAGTGCATGTGTGTCTGACCACTGTCCTCCACCCTTCTCTACCATTCCAGCCCTGGGGGCCAGTTACCTTGACCAGAGACTGTTAGGACAAGTCACAGAAACCACAAGTGCCACCCTTCCTGCAAGTCCCTGGCTATTTCTCCCCAACTCCTCATAAGCTACTGAAACTTTACCATTACAAATTCATTATCACAAAATTTCTCTTCTTTTAGATTGAGGTAATTCTTAATGGTCTTTCACTGCAAATAGAAGTATTGCCCCAAAAGTTCTTTTTCCAATATTGTTTATCATATGTAGTCTTTTCCCTACAATATAAAAAAAGATCTTCATGAGATGATAGAAAAGCAATAAATAATAATAATAGCAGTGGTATCTAGGACCAGGGGAGGGGTTGGGAATTATGAGTCAAAAAGGAAATTAGCATTTATTGTGCAGCTAATACTTATTAGGTCCCTTCACATGTGTAGTTTTATTTAGTCTTGCTGCCAGCCTGATTTTTACAAATGAGGAAATAGAAGTTGAATTATTTTCCCAAGGTTGCATAGTTATTAATTTTCTGAACAAGTATTTGGAACCAGATGAGGTTAATGCCAAAGTCATTACTCTCTTGCATAACTACAGACCCCAGTTTAGTTACTATAAAAAATCACTGATAGATAATAAAGGCTCATGACAAAAATCTGGTGAAGGCAAATGACTCTTTCTTCTTCATTGGTGTGAATGAGTATAAGGTGTCAAGCAAAAGGAATCAAACAATTCCTCTTCCTTTTTTAAAAATATTCTCCAGCCTCTTTCTAGAATATCTGAGATGTTCTAAGATAGAAGAAATCTAATTACAAGTTACCCTCCAGGAGATTTGGCCAGCATGTTAGTTTTCTAATGGCTACTAACAAATTATTACAAACTTACTGACTTAGAATAACACCCATTTATTAGATCATAGTTCTGTGAATCAGAAGCCTGCCACAACATGCTATCCATGTTCTGCCCAGAGTATTACAAGGCTGAAAGATGTCACAGGGTATCACAACATATACATCAGGCTAATTTTCCTTCTGGAAGCTCGGGGGTGGGGGGGAGGAAATTCTAAGTTTATTTCCTTGTAGTTTGTAAGATTAAGGGCCCCAATTCCATGCTGGGGGCCACTCTTAACTCTGTAAGGCTTCCCACATTCCTTGCCACTTGGACCCCTTTATCTTCTGAGAACAGCCAGAGAAAACTCTTTGCTTTTAAATGGCTCGTGTGATTAGGGCAGACTCAATCTGTGTAATGTCCCTATTTTAAGGTCAATGGATTTGGACTTTAATTATATCTCCAAACTTTCTTCATTGTCATATCTAGATTAGTGTTTGATTGAATAGCTGAGAGAAGGTATGCATACGTCAGGGATAAATCTTGGAGGATTCCTTAGAATTTTCCCTACCACTATCACTTCTGGGTTTTCCTGGATATTCAATAACCTAGTAAAGTCTGGTTTACTTACAAAACCCTGGAACCAGAATACTCGTAATCCCTACAACAGGTGTTCTCTAAACAGAATGGGATTTCAGTTTGAGTACCAGGCCTGAAAATTATACTTAAGTTTGATTTCTATTGAATATAGTTCATAATAAAACATTAAAATCCTTGGTAAGAGAAAAAAAAAAAAAGTAGAGATTGTCTATGTGTTTAAAAAAAAAAGTGAGATCAGCTAAGGTAGTATTTGCTGTGATAACAAATAAGCTCTGAATTCTCTGTGGTTTAACATAACTTTCTTTCTCACTTAAATAAAATCTGTTAGGGCAGACAGAGTTGGAGTAGGAGAGTGGAGTTGTATTGCTCTACTTCAGTAAATCATTAGAGACTCAAGGTAATGTAGGTTCTGACATCTTCAAAACATGATTTTCTAAGATTACAAAGGATGTTCACCTTCTTGATAGTACAAGGAGGCAAAAAGAAGTGAAAGAATGGAGGATGATGCAGGAGATTTATATGGGTCAGGCCTAGAAGTGGCAAATATCACTTTTACCCACATTCCATTGGCCAGGAGTCATGCATATGACCCCATCTAGCTGCAAAGGGGCTATGTGGCCAGGAAGAAAGGAAATGGGTTTGTTGAAAAAAATAGCCCATCTCTGCCACATGTGTCCAATAAATACATCTTTATGTATTTATTCTTATACATATTTATTTATTCTTATAAATAAATTCTTATTTAGCTTGTAAATAACCAGCATTATTTGACTCCCATTGTTCAGTGGCTCCAGCAGTTCCATCATGTGAAGTACCCAATTCTGCTCTGAGTGGAACTGTAGTAGAGCTACGATGTCAAGACAAAGAAGGGAATCCAGCTCCTGAATACATATGGTTTAAGGATGGTGTCCGTTTGCTTGAGAACCCAAAACTTGGCTCCCAAACCACCAACAGCTCATACACAATGAATACAAAATCTGGAACTCTGGTAAGATCTTTTCAAGTGTTGGCCTAATAACTATCTTGCATTTGAATTAAAAAATTATTAGAACTAAAATGACAGAGAATAAAGAATTGATACATTGCTTGGTTAAGCAGGAAAAGGGAGGGTTAACAGGGAAGATGGTGGCAGCTGCACAGAAAAGAGATGGAAAGGGCTGGGAAGCAGAGCACACAGGATCTGCTAGTAGTGGCCTGAAGTAGACCAAGCTTGACTCATGATGGTGGATTCTGCAATTTGCTTACATCTACCTTCCTGTAGCTGAAAGTTACTAAGAGTAGTCGGTTATTTATCCAAACCCAAGCCAAATACACTGCCCTTGAGTCGGACCCGACTCATAGTGACCCCTCTTTGGGTTTCCGAGGCGGTATCACTATGGAAGTAGATTGCCCAACCTTCCTTCCAGGGAGCAGCTGGTGCCTTCTGGTTAGCAGTCAAATGTCTTAGGCACTATGCCAGCAGAGCTCCCAAGTCTCTTATTTATAACACTAGGGAAAGTCATGAAAATGCTCTTGAGGATGCCCTGCCAACCATTTACTCCCCACCCCCAACTATAGCAAAGGACAGTGAGAGTGCAAACAATGACTGTAGTTATGCTTTTATATTATTAAACTCATCCATGACTCTAGGTCATCAACACTTGACTCTGTGGCTCAAGTATCCTTCACTTTAGATTTAGCTGAAAGCCATAGCCATTGATGCAACTCTGATTCATGGCAACCCCATGTGTTACAGGGTAGAACTGCTCAATAGGGTTTTCTTGGTTGTAATCTTTACAAACGCAGATTGTTAGGTCATTCTTACATGGTGCTGTTGGGTGGGTTGAAATCACCAACCTTTAAATTAGTCAAGTACAAACTGTTGGGCCATCCAGGCTTAGATTTAGCCTTGATTTTCTAATTGTTTCCTCTTTAAAATGTTCTTACTGAAAAGCCAATCCAGGAGTATTGATGGAAATCTGAATAAACTCTTTAAAGTTAATGATATTTTAAAATAAAAAGTATTTTTATTTTTTTTTTTTAATCTCTGACTTTTGGGGGTAGAGGTGAGAGTAAAGGGAAAAATTATTAAGCTTAAAGCTTTTTGTTTTCCCCCACAATCAAAGTAATACCATATCCATTTAAAAAGTCTGACTTAGTCTGGTGGTGTAGTGCCTAAGGCATTTGACTGCTAACCAGAAGGCTGGCAGTTCAAACCCACCAGCCACTCCTCAGAAGAAAGATTGGGCAATCTACTACCATAGTGATACCACCTCTGAAACCCAAGGAGGGGTCACTATGAGTCAGATCAGACTCAACAACAGTGAGTTAAGTCACCTTTACAACCATGATCAAAAAATCTTAAAGGCATGATAACAATATAAATAACTTTTAATAAGTTTTAAAATGAAGGTATAATGTTTCTTTTCATTCTTTCAATCTAGAAGCACACAATAACTTTTAGAAACTAGATCCTCTGGTAAATAATAAAGCATACCAATAATGTGGCTAAGTAATAAAATTGATGGGCAGATGTGGCTACCTCTGGAAGAAGGCCATGCCTTGGGCTATTTTGGCAGTCAGCAGGTGCAGTCAGCTGGTCCAACTGATTTTACACTGAGAGATTGAGCAGAAAACTTGCCGTCACACTTTGCTATATTTACTTTTCAAATTTATTTTCTCTCAGAGCAGGTGCTAAAAGCCCCAAGGCAAGTCTGAAATGATATAGATTTACTTTCTTCAGCTAACCTCAGTCCTTGAAATATCTTGTAATGCCAAAAGAATATACCAGGGTTGAACTAAGATGGGTCGTTTTGTAAGAAATGAACATCAGAGCCTTCAGTGTATGGGTGACAGTGACTTACTTTTAATTACCAGTTATAATGTATTAGAAGATCATTTTTAGTTTAGTCTACCTTATTATTTATGTATAATCTTGGCCCTGAGCTCATGCTGAATATTCTAAAGGTATAGAATATGGCTTTTGAAAGAATGATTGATGGATCTATAGAGTGAAAATAAATGATGAAAAGCTTTTAATCCCCTCATGTTCAAGTATGATAGAAGAAGGGGAAAGCAGGTAGTAGGTAAAGAAAAGTGAAAGAGGAAAGGGAGGTAATAGATAAATCCCCCCCGATGGCAGTGAGTTTGGGTTTCGTTGTTTTTTTTTTTTTTGGACTTATAAGAACATGAGGAACCAAGGCAATGAGGAGGTACTCCTCAGGAGTTCATGACTCCCACGGATGAGGTCAGCAGTGACCTCTGCAGTATAGAGGGTGTGACCAGGAGGCAATGAAAGAACAATTCTGAGCACCTCTCACCATCTGTACTGGTCCTGGCAGGATCCTCTAAGACATCTATAACTGGTTCCATTTTCTTACATTCTTCTTCTCCACTCTCCTTCCGTACTTCTTTTCCTTCCTTGCTTCCTTTTTCTCTCCCTCCTTCCCTCTCTTTTTCTCTTTCTTCTGTCTTTCCTTCCTTCCTGACAAATTCTTCAAGGGTTTACCTCATTTGAAAAGAAAAAAAAAACTGTTACATCAAAGTCTTATTTCAGTTTCTCTGGATGGGAGTGGAAGGAGCAAGGGCTGACTTTATCTGTTCAGAGTATTCAAAACTTCTTGAACTGTCAGGGTTGATAATCCTATTAACTCACCAATTAAGATTTTTAACCTACCCAGAGGAAGGTACCAAAAAGAATTGATCAACCATTTCAAAGGTAGCATATGATCAAGAATTGATGGTACTGAAGGAAGAAATCCCATCTCCACCAAAGGAATTGGTACAAAACAAGCCTCCAGGAATCGATGGAATACCCATTGAGATGTTTCAACAAACAGATGCAGCACTAGAAGTGCTTACTTATTTATGCCAAGAAATTAGCTATCTGGCCAGTTGACTGAAAAAAATCCATATTTGCCCTATTCCAAAGAAAGGTGATCCAACAAAATGGAGAAATTATTGAACAGTATCATTAATATCTCACACAAGTGAAATTTTCCTGAAGTTAATGCAAAAAAAATGGGTAGGAAACTACAGAAATTCAAGGCAGATTCAGAAGAGGAATTGGAAAGTGGGATATCATTGCTAGCATCAGAAGGATCTTGCCTGAAAGCAAAGAATAACAGAAAGATGTTTACCTGTTTTTTTATTGACTATGCAAAGGCATTCAACTGTGTGTATCATAACAAATTATGGATAACATTGAGAAGAATGGGAATTCCAGAACACTTAATTGTACTCATAAGGAACCTGTACAGAGACCCAGAGGTAGTCATTCAAACAGAATAAGGTTTAAAGTCAGGAAAGGTTGTATCCTTTCACCATACTTATTCAATTTGTATGCTGAGCAAATAATCTGAGAAACTGGACTATATGAAGAAGAATGCAGCATCAGGATTAGAGGAAAACTCATCAACAATCTGTGATATAAAGATGATACAAACTTGCTCACTGAAAAGTGAAGAAGGCTTGAAGTAATTACTGATGAAGATCAAAGACTACAGTCTTCAGTACGGATTACATCTCAACATAAAGAAAACAAAAATCCTCAAAATTGGAGCAATAAGCAACATCATGGTAAATGGAGAAAAGACTGAAGTTGCCAAGGATTTCATTTTACTTGAATCCAAAATCAGTGCCCATGGGAGACACAATCAAGAATGAAATGACAACACGAATAGACACTTCACCAAGGATATTCAGGCAGCCAACAAACATATAAAGAAATGTTCATGATCATTAGCCATTAGAGAGATGCAAGTTAAAACAACAATGAGATACCATCTTGCTTCAGCACTAGTAGCAAAGTCCAACAAGACAGAAAATAACAAATGCTGGCCAGGATGTGGAGAGATTGGGACTCTTATACACTGCTGGTGGGACAACCATTGGTAAAATGGTACAACCATTGTGGAAAGCAGTATGGCGATTCCTTAAAAACTTGGAATTAGAAATACCTTTTGACCCAGCCATTCCATTGCTAGGTATATATCCTAAAGAAGTGAGAGCCATGACGAGAACAGACATACGCACACCCATGTTCATCACAGCACTATTTACAATAGCCAAAAGATGGAAACAACTTAGGTGTCCATCAACTGAGGAATGGATAACCAAACTATGGTACATACACACAATGGAACCCTAAAGAATAACATAGAATCTGAAAAACAGTGCATGGCATGGATGAACTTGGAGGACATTATGCTGAGTGAAATAAGTCAATCACATAAGGACAAATATTGTACTAGTCCATTATTGTAAAAATCAAGGAAAGGTTTATCTATGTAAGAAAATTTTCTTTGTTGGTTCCCAGGAGTGGGAGAGGAGGTGAGGGAACACTGTTAGATAGGTAGAGATAAGTATTGATTTGGGTGAAGAGAAGGGCAATGTACCAAATGTGAGTGATCAACATGGTGGCATTGAGGAAGAGGAAGACATAGAGAAGTACATGGGAGGTATAGATAACAAGATGAACCCTTATGCACATACAATACTACGTTGCCAGTGAAGGCAAACATGGGTATATGGGTGGATAGATGGGTGGACAGACTGAACTATTAGGTATGTCTATGAAGTGGAGAGTGTACCCAAGACCATGTATAGGGTTGGCAGACAATGGTCCTATAAGTGTATTTGTATGATCTGAATTCCCAGGTGTATAATAGAGCTGACAAGGGACAAGGTCACTTCTTGGTCACAGCCAGCTACCCAGAGGGACCAAGTACTTGTACCTGTGGGCTTAGGACCATAGTCACAGGGGACATCAAGTTCAATTGGCATAACATACTACACAAAACATTGTTCCACCTCTTACTTTGGCAAGTAGTGACTGGGGTCTTAAAAGCTTGCAAGCAGCCATCTAGATGCAACAATGGGTCTCTCCTCATTCAGAGCAAAAAAGAATGAAGAAAACCAAAGATTCATGGAAAGAATTAGTCTTAGCAACTGGTACACCATGCAATCTGCTGCCTATATGACTATGAGCCCAGAAGAACTAGATGGTGC